TCGGGCGGGGCTGGGCAGTGGTCAGGGTGTCCTGGGCGCCGCTGGGCGGCTGGGCCGCGCGGTCCGCGGCCCCGCCCCCGGTCAAAGGCCACGCCGGCCCGGAGCCGGGAACCCGACACCGGCCTGTGTTAGGCCCCTGGGTTCCGGAAGCGCGTGTGGGCACTTCAGGACAGCCACGTAGTAGCCCAGGGCGCTCCGTGTCCCCCGAGAGGGGCCCGCCCAGGTTGCCGTTGCGCCTGCGGGGGGGAAGTCGGGATCCGCCCCAGGACGTCTTTCCAGTCACAGCCCCTTTCAGGTCTGGAATCCTGATGCCAGCAGTGATGCCAGACCTTTCCCCAAAACTGCATCTGTCCTCTAGATTTTTAGAAATTATGACCTACCCAATAGTTGTTCTTGAAAGATTTTCAAGTTTTAAATCAGAAAATATGTCGTGGGCACTAGTGTATAATATATTGGTCAAGGGAATCCTCCACCAGAACTTTTCTCACTTTGTGATAAAAGGCCCTCGTCATGCCATCCTGCCTGTGCAGAAGGACACGTGAATATTGTTAAGGATGTGCTCAGTGTTTCTTCACATTCTACCTGAGAGTTAGGAGAACACTGGATTAAGGAAGTGAAGGGGAAAAAAACCTATTAAAGAGAACATAATTTTCTTATATGGAAGATAGGAGATTGTGAAGAAACTTTACATTTATGTGTATTTATTTATAATTACCTTTCATAGCAAAAGCACTCAGCCTAAAATTATTTTTTTGTATAAATACTTAGAGGATCGTGGTTACCTTCACATTTAAATTAGTTTCTGGAATATTTTTCCCCTGAGAAATTTTCTTTTTCAATTCAAAAGCTCCCATTGTGAAATTTGCTCACCTGAGTGCAGTTATAACTAATTGATTAACACTGTATGGTTAAATTATGGAGATTATGCTTTGATTATTAGTACCACAGTAACATTTAAGGCCAGTGCACTGTGCCCAAAATCTGGAGAGGTGACTGGAGGAGAAGGGATTGCAGTGTGGCTATCCCCCTGGGGGTGGCGGGGTGATTTTTCGCTTTGTATCTCTTTGGGGAGTGCATATGTCCTATAGCAAAAACTTTCTTAAAAAAAAAAAAAAAAGAAAGAAAAAAAAGCCAATGCTCTTTATAAGGGTGAGGAAGGAGAAGGATAAGAAGGCAAAAAACAGATTTGACACAGCCCTGAAACTACCCAGGGACCTCATATTATGCTGCATTATAAATCCATGAAAATCCTTTGCTCACTTAAGTAATGAGCCATATTTTCTGAGTACCCACTCTGTTAGAGACTTTACTCAGTGATAATAATGTACATTGCCATTACCTTTCCAATCCAAAACTGTACTCTTAGTGACTAAAGATATTTAACACTTAGCATTCTCAATGAAAGGAATATTTGCATATATAAGATTTATTCTTGTTTCTTAAGGATTCTGCACTATTGATATGTATTGTAGACTGTTTACTTTTGAAATGTTGGGTTAAATGAAATTCAACAGGTTGGTTTTGGGTTTTTTTTGCCTTTTTTTTTTTGTTTGTTTGTTTTGCTAGAGGATTTATTAGCTTCCCAGAGAGGGAGACAGAAAAGAAAGCAACCACCATGGGGAATGGTCACACCACATTCCCTTCTCCTCCATCTTTCTCTCCTTTGGGAATTTTGGGCAGGACTGCACATATGCCTGTCTTCTTTCTCAAGCCACCATGTGGGGAACTTGAACTGCAGGTAGTAGGCCTTGTAGGATCCAACTGCCTTAACCATATCATGGAGCTGACCCTTGTTTTTAAGTATAATTATCTCTTAGAGTTTTATATTGTATGCGAATTTCTAATTTGGAGTTAGTGTATGAATGTTCTCAAACTGTCAAACTTCTTTTTTTTAGCGACTGGGTTTTGCTCTTTTGCCCAGGCTAGTCTCAAACTTGCCATCTCCCTGATTTAGCCTTCAAGCAGCTGGGAGTACAAGTGTCCACCACCAGACCCAGCTAAACTGAATTGAATTCAGAATTTTAATTTCTAGGAACCTGGGAATGTTCCTCATAGGAGACATTTGGGAAAATGTATTTTAGTTCTTAATGAGTTTGTTTTTATCTTTAACCATGTATTTCACCCTTTCTCCCAACAGAAGTGATGCCACCTAGAAAAAATGAGAAATATAAACTTCCTATTGCACTTCCAGAAGGCAAGATTTTAGATGATACAGAAGGAAAACAATGGGTACTGGGCAAGATGATTGGCTCTGGAGGATTTGGATTGATATATTTAGGTAAAGTATAACTGTAGATTACCAAATAATCTTATGTATGTTACCCTAGCTATTATTACTTAATTCTGTTTTTAAAATTGAAACTGAAATAGTATAGAATTTATAGATATATAAACTTCCTATTGCACTTCCAGAAGGCAAGATTTTAGATGATACAGAAGGAAAACAATGGGTACTGGGCAAGATGATTGGCTCTGGAGGATTTGGATTGATATATTTAGGTAAAGTATAACTGTAGATTACCAAATAATCTTATGTATGTTACCCTAGCTATTATTACTTAATTCTGTTTTTAAAATTGAAACTGAAATAGTATAGAATTTATAGATATACTTTATTAAAATTCTTGAATGTGATTTATTAAGTAGAATAAAGATAATATTGTCTTGGTTGAAAACATGATTGACCTTCTTTTCATCCGTATTTTTCTGGATGACTATTAGTAGTCTTTATAGTGCATTAATTTTATAGTATGCCAGATGAACTGCTAATACTCCTTTTTTGCAAGCTTGTTTTCCTGGAAACATGATTTTTGTATGTCAGATACCATAACTGTATATATAAATACTTTTCATTTATAAATCTTAGTTATTAATATTTAGGTAATACTGGAGTCTAGTTTCTTAACTGGGCTCCCCTAGAGAATTAAGCCCTAATAATTTAAGGCATCTGTTGCATAGAATAAATTAACTTCTCTCTTGTACCTCTAGTGTGGTATGCTAGTTACATGCTATCCTTGGGATAATTGATAAAACAGATATTCAGATTATTTCTGTGTTCCGTTGTGTAGGTAAGGAAGCTATTGGGTATATTTTGACACTGCATTTAAACATCTAACAATTACACTGAATTTAAATGGATTATTTAGGGCTGCCTTAAGCCTAGTGAGATTAGGTGAGGATATCCATTACAAGATGGAATTTGATGAATAAAATAACATAGACATCAGTAACTTAAAAAAAATACCCTGAAGGATAAATTCTTCTAAATGTATTGACTCACATTATATCTGTTGCTATCAGAATTTAAGAGGTTGATAAGAGACTGTCTTTGGGGGACTCATGGGTTCCTCAAGAAATACCTCTAAACATATTTCATGGATCTCAAAGGATAAAGATCCTCTGCTGATAAAATTAAGATTGTAGTTTTCAGTGAAAATTAGCCAGTAAGCAACTGCTTATTGATTACATCAGTGTTTAATCTAGTTGGAAAAATAACATCAGCACACACACACACAAAATATATGGGTTAAGTAAAGGATAATTTAGAGTATTTGAGCTTGCTTAAAAATATTATGATTCTAAGTGATAGGTTAAATGACATGATAGCACTAGAGACATGTATTACAAGCCACATACATAATTTTAACATTTTCTAGAGGCCACATTAAAAAATATTAAAGAGGACCAGCCAGTGGCATGGTGGTTAAGGCTACTGGATCTTACATGGCCTGCTGTGTAGTTTGAGTCTAGACTCAGCGACTTGAAAAACATGCCAGGTGCATGTGCATATGAGCCCAAAATCCTTGAAGGGGAAATGGAAGAGGAGATGGAGGTATGGCCATCCTACAGGGGAGGAATGCTCTCTCACTTTTCCTTTCTATCTCTCTAGCAAATACATGTGCTCTCTAGCAAAATTAAAACACAACAAAAAATGGAAAGGTGAAATTTATTTTAATGGTATATTTAATGCAGTATATCTAAATTAATATCATTTAACATTGGCAATATAAAATAATGAATTTTTTTTAACTTTTTTACTTTTATAGTGAAAGTTTTCAAAATCCGGGATGTGTCTAGTCTCAGGGCTGGGTGGCCATATGTGACTAGTGGCTACTGTCTGGGATAGTGTAGATAAAGGTCATGTGAGTACTTAGAGTTCACAGAAAGTAGAATTCCCTGTAGAATAAGTGTTGAGACTTGGAATTAGTGAATTATCTTTAATAGTAAAGACTAAGACATCTAATATAATGCCTTAACACAGGGCCAGAGAAACAGAGTTGAATAAATTATTTCTGATGTGTTTAGCTATGTAGTCTTGGATCCTACAGCTTATTACTTAAACTTTTAGTCTTCTAATATTTGAATTGTTTGAGTAATTTTGGAAAACTAGAGAGTAGTATAATTTTAATGAACTTACTTTTTACTTTAAAAATGTAAATATTATATGTGTTATATATATTTAAATTTAAGTGCATGGTAAAGACTAAATATGTCTCTACATGTGTGTATATTTGTATACATACAACTTGCATGTTTTCTTTTATGAAAAAGGTAGGTATATGTTCAGGCATGTAGTTTGTCTTTATTTAAATGCAGAAACATTCTTGCTTTGAGTTTAAGTTTGTGTAACATTTTTTTAACTTATTTTTTCTCATTACCAAATAATACTTGTTTTACAACACGTTCTAAGGTACAGTTTATTATGCAGTACCTTTCACTGTCTGAATTTTAGAACTTGGACCTGAAAAGATTAACAAGTATGACCATTAGGGAA